GGCCGCTAACCACGCGATTGTCCAACTCTGCAACTGATCGGGTTCATCTTGCACAACAACTAAATTTGATTTACACAGCTCTGAATTTTTATCCAAGCATTTTAGAGATGAGCCAGGTTTTAAAAAATTCACTGTCGACTTCTGCTGTCATCGCAGCATTTCATGTGATGTGGCCAAACATTATGTCAGTATGTATGGGCTAAGATATGCACCAAAAAAAGTATAACGTGACGTCATTAAATGAATATTACAGATTTTGCCATCTCTTTCATAGCCCTGGTGAGCTGCCAGCTGTCCCACGTTTCCTTCAGAGGGAGGATGCCTAGTTGGCCATTCAAGTCTGTTTAAGCACTTTCATCCTGTCAATCACAATGTAATTAATGCTGTCTCACAAAATGGGATGGTATTTTGCTTTTGCTTGATTTATATTGGCTCTGATCATACTCGCCTGGTAGGAATAAGCAATTTATTAGAAACTTCCAATGCATCAATTCATCCAAACCTCATGTATGTGTGGGACAATTTAACTTGCATCCCCAGCAGGGGGCAATGTGGACACAAGCGATTTAGGGCAGTGGTCTTTTTCTGGCCTGCCCAAACTTCAGAAGTTGGAAAGGTTTTTGACAGCCCCCACCCCAATATTTTTAATTTATTTATCATCTTATCATTACATGATAAGGGAACCAAAACTTAATATTAAGTTAGAGAGGTGCGCATGATAGCATAAGCAAACTCCTTGTCTGTTTATCTTCCCTACATTTAATCATATTGAATTCAACTTTGACGCGACTCCTTAATTTTTTCCTCTGGTCATCCATGCCTGCCATCTGGCAGTGGCTCCTATTGCACACCAGGGGGCCCGCCTCACCAGTTTTGAGAACATATGATTAGAGAAAGTTTGTAGCCTCCAGCAATATCATGAGTGCATTTCATTTGTAAAAAATTGTTTTACAAGATAATACAGATATTATAAAAGAAATAATATATTAACCATGTCAACAACTGTTGAATTAATACCTGTGAATTTGTGAGCATTAAACAGTTGTTAATATCTTCACATGTGGACCCGCTATTATTAATTAAATTCTGAACCTGCTGTACAGGGCCTGTCTGTTATGTCTCCTCATGATATTTATGGCTCTAAAACTAAAACTCTTGGAAAGAAAATTGCCCTTTAAATATATTTCACACGTGGATGAGTGAATCCGACCCAACAGACAGGTGGCTGGATTTGGAGTGGCAGTTTTTAAATTTAATTACCAGTGGACGCAAATCAGGTTTGAGAGGACGCAGACTTGGAATGCAGAGACACTGTTGTGCTTGCAACAACGGATGAGAGGCGCTGTCGTTGTTAAGCTAACAATATCAGCACTAAATGGAGTTGTAATGGAGTCTATTTAATATAAAAGTAGGGACAAAGTAAAGGGATGAGGTTTTCCCCAAATAAAACTCCATCTTCATCTTTAAAGATTGTGTGTTCTGTGAATCAGGAATTCAGTGATCATTTTATAGGAGCTTTGTTTCTTGCTTTCTAGTTAATAAAAATAAGTATGACAGAAGTAAGTCTGAACAAGTCTTTGTTTTTATCATTCTGACACTGTGTTTAAATGTGCTTGTTTCAGTTTGAGAGAATGTACAAGGAAGTCAGAATCTCTACACATTAAACTCGCGACCCCCCGTGAAGCTTTGGCAAACCACTGGATTAGAGAGTCAGTATATGGTGGAAAGAGGCTTCACCAGTGTTTAAAGTGTAACTATATGACTTCTGGGTTTTTGGTGCTACAGTCTCCCTTGCTCTGGTATGACCAGTATCTTATAATGTTATAATGGTTTTAATAATTTTTCTGACTGTGTGACTTATCTCTGCTTGTACTATTCTAACACAAATTTTATCATTATCCCATAATTACCTCTTGCGGCCAGACATGCAAAAAGGATGCCCACTTTAATATTTCACAGAGCTGTAAATGGGTTAAAGTTGTGAAAAGTAAAGTTCATAGAATAGATAATGGTGGAAACAATCAGAAATGTAGCCAAAGCAAGAACAAAGAAAAAGCATTTTAATGTTGGATGTCCGTCCGTGTGTCTATACAGAGCTACCTATCTGAAAGTCTGAAAATAGAGCGTATGTGTTTTACATGTATCTCACTCTGCAAAGTAGCCAATGACCACAGCCATCAGATAGACGTAGTAGTAAAATGACCTTTGATGGTTTACTGTAAGAATACTACACTATATTATAAGAGTATGTAAGAATATATGAGTAATCAGAAATACGCAAGCACAGTGCCTTCAAATCGGTATTTACCTCTCAAAATCAGATGATCATCTAAATTCTCATCATATATGTCTGCATAATCCAACCAATCACCTAACTCACATAATGCTTATTGTGTGAAATTGAAACCACACATACCATGCTAATAACGGCTGCACCATTAAATCAAGTGAAACGTTTCTAGCAGTCTTAGGCTATGAGCCAGTTTATACAGTTCTATCTGATCTCAGAAGTTGTATCCCACAAAAAGTCTTCACTAAAACCACCTTGTGAAACACTGACACTCCTCTTGCACCTCATCAGTTCTCAGCAGTAGTTTCTTTGACTGCCGCAGCGAGAGGATTTCTACTTGAGAAGGTTTCATATGTTTCTGTGGCTCTACAGCACAGCAGGAACCACACACACACACACACACACTTGACTACACTCTAGCCTTGAGTTGATGTGGCTCAGACCTTTCATCACTCTTTGGGAGAATGCTTTTATCAGTGGGCTTTTGAGCATGCTGCTACCTAATCAGCCTAACCATGAGCAATTATCTGAGATGGATTTTCAGTAAATTACAGCTGCCATTTTCCAATCATCCAAAGCCATCCAAATGGGATTTATTTTAATTCTACTTTTCTGTGGCAGGTTGGAAACCTGCTTGCCAGCACCACAATATAGCAGAAGTGGTAATTCTGGTTAACTGATCTCTTGGCAAGTGCTTCATTCAATACCTTACCCCACCTGTGCCAGGATTGTGCTGATATTTTTGGTTACAGATAAGCCAAGTCAGAAAAGTAGATATTTGCATACAGTGAAGGTTTTGCTCGGCTGCAGCTGTTGTCAAAAAAATAGAACCCATGGAAACACATCAAATGAGGAGCTAATGAATCACTGGTGTGAATTTCGGTGTGTTCATGTGTCTACATCAGAGGCTAGACCACAGTTTCTGCGAATGACTGGTTAAAAGAAATTGTGGTTATTAAGTAAAAATCTAAAAGAGAGAGCCTCATTTCACATCAGAATCAGAATCAGGTTCATTGCCAAGTAGGTTTTCACATACAAGGAATTTGCCTTGGTAAATTGGTTCATTACAATAAACATAGAGAAATATAAATATAGATAAAAATAGAGACAATATATATAAATATAAAAAGTGACACAATATGTACAATATAATCCTTATTTAATGGTTATTGCACATTCTTTCAACACTATGGTTAAGAATTAATTTTCAAACCTCTTTTTAAAATCAAAATAAATACATTTAAAATATTGTTTCCATCAGTCTTTTTATGTCTATTTTGTAAAACACAATATATTTCATCTTGTTGTTTGAAATGTGCTCTATAATACGTGTCTATATATCTTATTTGTTTGCTTCAGGTTTTACGATTTGGAGGATGTCATGTTTGCACCATCACTGGAGGAGGGAGTTACTCAGAAAACGAGATCCACTATTGGATATATCCAGCTGTCAGTCAACGCTTTTAAGCCAATCACAGATCGAACAAATTCCCGACTAACCAATCAGAAGCGGCCCCAGAGAGCCGCTGTACCCGGATCACATTGAACACACAGCATCCTCCGCTGGCTGTAAGAACACATCCTTTGGTAAGACGCTCTCCTCATTTGGCAAGTGCTAAATAATACAACCCATAACAGATGAAACACGCTCTTCGGTTTTGTGTTTTACCTTAAAAGTCGTTTATTAAACGCATTTTTTTTTTATCTCATACCACAGGCTAGCAGCTGTTAGCGTGTTAGCTCGCTAGCGTGTAGCGGTAGCCTTTTGGCGCTTAAGTGCAAGTGTTTGTCTGATCCTGTTCTAGGTGAGCTGTCTGCATGAAACTGCAGCTGCAGCCTGACAGTGTGATTATGCGATATAAATTAGAGACACGTTAATTACTATCCACTAGAAAGAGGTATAATGTTACAATAGGATTATATTATCATTTATTGGGATTCTACCTGCCTGTGAGGTGAACGGTGAAGCCATTGATGATGAACAGTAACATGTGAATTATTGTCTTCTCTCTTAACATTACAGGGTTAACACAAGGGGTTAGTTGTGTATGTGGTGGCTTTTAACAGTTTAAGTTGTTTAGCAGGTGAATATGGATGCAAAGTTACTAAAAGTCAATGTGGCTCAGTGAAAAACTTACTGCTACTATTAAAAACTTTGCCATCTCTGTGTAAGAGAGTTTTAAAGGCAATTGAGTGTCAAAGTGTCTGGTAATGTCCATGGGAACTTTATTATTATATTATATATATTTCTTATTTCTCTGCAGATACACAACATTACAAATGGGGCGCAGAAAGTCAAAGAGGAAGCCCCCTCCCAAGAAAAAGATGACGGGTAACCTGGACGTCCAGTTCACTTGCCCCTTCTGTAATCATGAGAAATCCTGCGATGTCAAAATGTAAGTAACTCAGAATGCTTTAGAAATGCAGAGAAATGCATCATGAACAACATAAAATGAATAATATATAATAAATAAAAATACTAACTTTTCCAGGGAGCGAACCCGCAACACAGGGATTATTTCGTGCAGTGTTTGCTTGGAGGAGTTCCAGACTCCTATAACCTGTATCCTTTTAACCAACTAAAGACTGCAGCATCATGTCTGGTCACGTGTAATGACTTCCATCAGCCAAGGAGTTGTGTTTTTGGTCCTGTTTGACCAAAGTCTGTTTAGGTTTAAATCCACTAATTTATAGTAAATTTTTAAATATTGCAAGATGGTGCATTTTTGATCATTTTCACAATTTTCTTATGAACTACTGCCCCGACTTGAAGGGGAAAAAATCATTTAAGTGCATGCAATGATTGAAGTATGCAGATAAAAGATTGACACAACATTTTTGATTATTAAAAAAGAAGAAAAAAAAAGTGGATTATTTAGCATTGGTGGAGGTAATGTATTGTGTGTGTGTGTGTGTGTGTGTGTGCGTCTGTCTTGTCTGCATTTGGAATTTCCCTTAACCTTCTCTCGACAGATCTGTCCGAACCAGTGGATGTTTACAGTGATTGGATCGATGCCTGTGAAGCAGCCAATCAATAGTCATGTTTTCCTGTGACTCACCTTTTCTCTAACCTCACTCACTTACATTTCGCCCCTTTGATCGGTCCCCTGAATTAGGTCCTGTTCAGCTAGCACAATGTAGCAAAACATTAACAAACGTTAGAAGCGTTATAGGTTTTTACCGTACGTATGTGACACGCTTAGTCTGACTTTACTACAGTGTGGCTTGCTGAGCATGACACGCTCCTCTGGCTGGACCAGAGGGTCAGTATGTTGTTTGCCTACATCACAGTTCTCAGTGTATACTTTATCAGTATAATCAGTATAATCAGTGATTAGTTTATGATTAATGGTTTGGTTTTAAGATCAGATCATGATGTTTTCCCTTTATTTGGACAAATTTATCTTATAAATTGTTTAAAATATCTGATTTCCACTGTGTCAAACATTCCATGTGCTCCTTTGGTATTTTTTGTGATTTATGGATGAAGAAAATATGATAATCCTCTTTTGTTTTTTATTAGGTTGTTGCAGAGTTGTATTTAGTAGATTATAATGACACAAACATGTTACTTTTGTGGAAGGAGTAATAGTTTTTTTGGTTTTCAACCCCATCTTTAATGCACTGAAACATTTTATTGGTTGACAATTTATTTTGAACTGCCAAATCTTTTCAAATCTTGTGTTTTTAGGCCAGTATATATTTGTACTGTTAGATTTGTATTTTTCTTTTTTTAAAAACACAATCATGTAATTTCTATTACACAACTTCTGTGTATTTCACACCTACTGTGTATTTTTAGGTAATGACTGTACTGAGAAAATTAAATCCGAAACCACATTTTTCAAGTGTTTTTTATTGCACAAATGTCATGTTAAGTGAAATGCATATAGAAAAAGAAATCAAGAGGTTAGCAAAGATTGAACAATGTTGAAACAAAGCCAACACATTAAGGTGAAATGTTCCTATACTCATTGTTGCCATTCTGGATAACACAGGGAAGAAATTATAATAAATGAAAGTGCTGTTAAAAATAAAAAAAACATTCCAATATTTGACTGAATAAAACATTTAGATGATTCATGGATTTAAAAAATGAATTAAACGTACATGTGCTTTTCCCCCACTAGATGGCACACTGCTGCATGGTCTAAATCATGGCTGCTGAATAACAATGAAAAGTTCAAGGGCTCCAATCTATTGAGCCATTCAGCACATGAACACAAACCTTAGGCTCATTCAACAGATAATTCTGACCATAAAACCAGTACATCTACATATTTTACAAAGAAATGCAGATTTTTTGATGTGTAACATTAGATCACAGGTCTGTCTATAACTTTGAAAATGAACATTTCTGCCTTCTTATGTGCTGAAAGTGAATCGTGTAACAGCTAGTGACACCTCTGACCTTACAATAACATTACATTCAAGACATTCGGTGGGTTAACAGCATGACACGGATATTTCAAAACGAGAATCTCATCTCTACATTTAGCATTATTCAGTTAGCAATTACCAGCAAGTGCCAGAGTCTACTTTGATATTGCCATTTACTGACAGCGGTGGATGAAGTACTCAGATACTTAGCTTGAGTGAAATTAGCAAAACAAAGGTAAAAAAACTCTTAAATCCTGCATTTGAACTGTTAAGTAAAAGTACATAAGCATTATTAGCTAAATGTACTTTATGGTATGAAAACTAAAATACTGAATGCAGACAAAGGCCCCTGTGAGGGTTATATTATTAATACTTGCAACATATTTTAGAAACTTGTTTGTATGTAAAATCCTTATTTTATAAAGTAACTATAACTGTAGTTGAGTGAAAAGTACATTATTCAGATCTGAATTGCAGTGCAGTTGAAGTATTAAGTGACACCAAATGGGAACACTCAAGTAAAGTACCATACGTTTCTATTTTACAGTATCTGAATAAATGTACTTACATCCTACCACTGTTTACTGCACACAAGGTGAAGACAGGTAAAGTGCGAATAGAGTAACAGCACTGAAGCCAAAGGTCAATGAGGCTTAAGGCAAAATGTTTGCACAAGGAGGGAAGAAAAAACAACAGGACAAAAACTACCGGTGACTAAGTTTACCCCAACTTCAAACTAGATATCACAATGTATCACCTATATTTGCTCTTTATAAAAAGCATTGTCTGATAGACCTCTCTACTTTTTCTAAATACTGTCTCAAAAAAACATTCTAAAATCAGCCCCGTAAAATGGCGTGAAGGGTAATTTGGCAGGCTCGTGAACATGACATATTTGTCAGCGCAGGTGCTCACAAAACAAAGCAATGTCTGCACAAAACTACAAGTCCTCCTGCATCGTCCGCCCCCGGTCAGCCTCTAAACCTGGAACTTCTGTGTCAATCCCGAGGAGTTGAATCCCAGAGCCGGCGGAGCTCCAATGTGGATGTGGACTCCGTTCCAACTGGGTCAAAGTTCAATAGCACCAACACGGTCACTTGTTTCCTTTCACAGGACTTTCAAATTCTGTTGTTGTGTTGACAGTTTTCAAACTGGACTGGAAGGGTAGGGAGGTGAGGCGAGGGGTATAAACAGATACAAATCTCTACAATGCAAGTATAAAAAGCTGTAAAAAAAAAAAAATCTATAAATAGCAATAGTCATTAAGTGTGTTCTGGGTCTTTTTAGCGGTAATAAGATTCATCAAAGAGATGAGACACAGAAGTTGGCCACTGCTAGAAATTTTTGACATAAGGTCAGTGTAAACGCCATTTTATTTTATTTTACTCATGGAAACACAAACAATAAATTCCTAAGAGTAAAAGTATGTTTAGAAAAAGCCGGGGAACGAAGACGACAATGATGTCGATCAGTGTTAAATAACAGTCTGGAAGGTTTGCTCGTCACAAAGACAGTCGCGGTTGGTTGTCTGGAGTTAAGCAAAGAGGAGGGAGGGGGTGAGGCTGTCCGTGGTTTAGTCAGAGTACTGGTTGTAGCCATCAAACTCCACCTCGCTCCCGTTGTTATAGTAGGCCTCGGTGGGGTTGCTGCAGTACTTGTTGTCGTAGACCTGGCGGGGCAGACCGTAGGTGGTCATGCCCTGCTGAGAGGCCACTTTGTTTGTGCCCATCTGCAGAGAGATGGTGGTGGTGTCACAGTTCTCCAGCTCCAGCTTCTTGTCAAAGATGTGCCTCCTAGTTCCTGGGGCGGTCATGCCAGCCTGGGGGACAGAAAGGAAGACGAGGGGTTTTGGAAAAAAAATTCAACAAGAAATATAAATATATTAAATATCAAAGCTACTTCAACAGACAGTGACTACTCATATAAATATATATAATGATAAAAGAATCAAAGAATAAAGCTGTGAAAGTTTCTGTTTTCTGAAAAGAGCAAACGTCATTGCAATGATGTTCCTTCATTATGATGGAACTATAATTTATTTTTTGTCAATCCCACATACTAGAGCCAGCCTGTTGTGACTGATATAACGCTAAAGCCCTGTCAGATGAGCTCCAGTACTCCATCTGCACCACCAGTCATTTCCAAATATCTTTATTTCAACTGATTTGAAACACTATTAATCTTATAAACGTGGATATTGTTACATTATTGTTTTCGTGCAATTGAACCGTCAATGTCTAGATTAAGTTTGCATTCATACTATGACCACTGTGAGTGGCAGAGGTTTTACATTTCAACCATTAGTCTGTTACATTTAGCAAAACATCTAAACTTTTTATCAGTTAGTCTTTGCTATCCATTTTAACCATTCAATTTATTCAATAGTGTTGCTGAGGCAGTCGAAAAAAGGATTTAGTGCGAGAGGCTTAAGCTGGTCTCAGACTACAGGAGTTTTAAAATCCTAACCGATTTTTAAATTGGGCTGCAGAATGCGCATGAGGAGAAACGTTACAGATTTTCTTCTCTGTAATCTCAAACATGCACACAGTACAAGAGTTAAAAATAATGGTGCATCACATTCCCGGATATTATTAAGATTATGGTACCAGAGGGAGCACTGCACCACCTTGCTGTTATGCTTTTCAGTGAGAACTGAAGGTGAGATTTTAACAGCAGCCTTCGAGCTAACGTTAGCCTCAAGGGCTAAAAAGTTTACAGCTGTTTGGCAACACCTCTCATTCACTTCCGCACTGACGTAATCATCCAGAGTTTAACTCCTGAATGTCTCATAAAAAAGATGTTTGAGAGGGAGGTTGAAGACTGCATCTGTAAACCCCTCACTTTACTAGATAATCTGGGCCGAACCTCAGTACCAAGCAAAGTCCCAGACCAGTTTTCTCCTCCGGCTGTCAGGATCAATGAATCTGACGTAAATCAGCCCAAAACTCAAATAATAGTCTGAGCCCGGCTTTAGTGGAGTAAGATGTGGAAATCACTGTGTTAGGCCACAAAATGTGTATTACTCTGCAGTTTAAAATAGTAACAAATTCACTGTATACTACTGTTTAAAAAACTTTAGCTAAAAAGGAAATAGGGCAAAAGATTTCCTCTTCAGTAGGAGCCTGTGGGCTTGGGGCCCAAAGACAAACCAATTGTGGACAACAAGAAGTGTAGAATAACACCGGCCCTACCCTAAAATATGTGGTGCATCTTTAAGTCTGAGATTCTGTATGGATCAAAGTGTAAACTGAATAAATAAAAGCAGCATAATTTAGAGTAAAATGACTCACCTGGCTGGCTCCCTTGTTGGTGCCCATCTGTAGGCTGATAGTAGACTGGTCCAGTGGGTTTTCCATGGCCATTTTAGAATCATACAGATGGCGTCGTGTGCCGTAGGAGGTCATGCCCTTTTGGCTGGCAAGCTTGTTGGTGCCCATCTAGAGACACAGCAAAATGGAGTTAAGTAACTGAAAACACGTTAGTCTGGGGACAAGGTTGTCTCAATGTCATCCTTCTTTTGCAGGTGGGAAAAGACTCAATCAAGAGGTTTCTGGTAAGGTTTAGTCAGCAGGAGTCCAGCAGGGAGCACAATGAAAACCCACTGGGAACTGAACAACATGTATCTACAACCCCATATGCAAGCATGATCATAAAGTACTAAATTACAGGTTTAGCCTTTCTGCTGCTCTGACCTGCAGGCCTATGATGTTGCGTCCCTCCCTGAGCTTCTCTGGAGCGAAGCGGCGCTGCTGTTTCTCAGCATACTTCACTCCCATGTCGTACTTGGAGTGGAAACCTTTGGACTTGGCCTGAGAGAGAGAGAGAGAAGTGGCAGAGACAGAAGGGAAAATAGAGGTAATAGAGTGTATTTTTCATACCCATATTGTTTTTATTATGCTTCTGCTGTTGCCATATCATTGTCCAAGTCCATGCAACACAAAGCACTCACATAGATAGGCTGGTGGCTGCAACATGTGTATAATTATCATAATATACTCATATATGTACATCATCGAGAACTCTTGAAGCTAAAAATGATCACTCCAGCTTTTGCTGATTTTGTTGGTTGTGTGTCTTTGTGTAGCTGCTCTCACCATTCCAGCCAGAGCGATGAGTGTGCTCTGGACCTGAGTGTGGTTGACATTCTCAAACAGATCGTTGGCTTCGAAAAGGTCATGTGGCTTCAGGCCGTACTCTGTGATTGCACGGACGAAATTCCCTATGTTTTCCAGCTAAGGAAAAAAAAAAAAGCAGTCAGAAAGAAAATGGAACTAGTTGAGAAGAGAATCTGTTTGGTATCTTACATACAGCCTAGTAGCTGCCTTGTGTTTCACGTTGAATGCAGCCTTTTTTATCTATTAAAGATATAGTTAGTAAGGAAATATGTTTATTTGTTTTCTTGCAGAGATTTAGATGAGAAGATTGATACTACTTTCTCTTAAATATGAATCTACCACTATCGGCTGGTTAGCTTAGCTACACACAAAGCCTAGAAACAGGTGGAAACAGCTAGCCCGAGACATAACGTGTTAATGAGTGAGATCTGATGACAGTGTTATCAATCTCTTCATCTTAACACTTGACACGATAAAGAAAATCTGAAATCCTAATGATAAATTAAAAAAAAAACTAAATGCAATGATGACTAATAAATACTGACAGTATCTCACAGCTTTCTTCCCGTCTGTGCAATATCCTTATAATATTTGATTCCGTCTGAAAGTCTGTGTGCATCCATTTAAGTGTTACAGTGGAACTTTGTAGAAAGAGCTTCCATCAAGCCTTAAAAGCACTGTTTGCTGTTTCAGTCCTGTGAGAGGCTAATAAAAGCCATACTGAGATGGGCTTCATTTGATATGGCAGCTACTTTATGGAATGTAAATAAGCTCTGTGTTGTTAATGCCTATACGGTAGACTAACCAAGTTCCACATGCTCTGGAAAACGACCCTGACTTTGTAGATTAGCAGGACAAATGAGGCTTATTTTCTTTCCAAAGGAACTGGTCTATTACCTGGTGCCAGTTTTGACTGGAGGTGTTGATCTTTCTCACAGAACCTGGCTGGAGAACATTAATGAGTCTACAAAGAAAGAGACAAAAAAATTAAAAAATTCCAAACAATCAGCAATAATATAACATTAATGAGTTTGATTAAAGTTCTGACGTTTCTGTGCCACAAGCATCCTCTCAGTGTCCATCCACTCACTCGCATAACACGACTCCATCCTTCAAGCTCTCCATGAAGTGGTCCCCGATCCTTTTGCCGGTCACATCCTGGATCCACAGCTTCAGCTCCTCTTCCTTCTGGGGGTCGTACTTCCCTGCAAGCTGAGGGGGTGGAACAGAGGTCAGAGGTCATGTATAAGATTGGTCTTTTGATTTTTATTCAGTTTTTGTTACAAAACCACAGCTGGTGTCAGCCCATCAAACTCAGCCCACTCTCTAGTGGATTTAGTCCTTCTAGTGAATTTCATTAGAAGCACGAAAAAAAAGAAATAAGACCCATATGTGGCACAAAGAAGTAGAAAACAGATGAGTAACAATTATGCACAGTTTGCCATTTGTAACTCTTAAAAGCATTATTCAAATATTGTCCAGTGGATTATAAATTCCATCATTCAGATTTAGCATTTTCAGTATTCAACGGTGATGCTTTGTTTTACCTGTGCGTAATTTCTGAAAAGTTTTCCTGGCGAGAACTATGGAATTTGGAACTGATTATGCGAAAAAAAAAAATTCCTAAAAAGATTATTTTCATAATTGGACATTTTATTTTCCATGTTTGTTTTTCATGTTTGCATGTTCAGTTGACCTACAGTGCACTGACAAAAGACTCTCCTGGCTACATTAGCAGTTAATTGAAAGTAAAAAAATGTTTTCCCGATAAAACCGATGTGGTTATTTCCAGTAAAACTTCGTAGGAAATTATTTGTGAATTACACAACCATGAAATGTTGTGCTACCCTTTCCATTATGATTGGGGGAAAAGAAAGTGAAACTCTATGAGGGATGGCACAATGGCAGAGGAACAAAGACAATGTCAATTAAAACACTATAAACAATACTCCAATCTTTAAAAAGGTACATGCACACACGTTTCTACTACTACAGCTACAGCAGTGTTTCTTTCATGCCTCAGGATTTCAGTTACTAAAATAACTCTGGTTTCACTCATACTTTTCCCATAACTGTACTGTCTTTGAAAGTCTTACTGTATAATAAGAAAATACTTTGAGATGAAGGGTATAAAAAAAAATAGGACAAAAAATGAAAATGACCTGTAGACATTCCTGCATGGAGAAACACATTGGCCTCTCTCTCTCTCTCTCTCTCTCTCTCTCTCCTCTCCATGTATTTCCTTATTGGCACAAAGACATTGCCCCTAATACTTTGAATTCTGGCGTGGGGTTTAAGGCTGCTCCCCCCTGCACACACACACCCCCCCATCCCCTTTTCCTGAATGTTCTGCAGATAAGTCTTCACAGTCTGGGATCAGCAGCCAACACAAACAAGTATTTCAAAGCAGCAGGGATAGTGTAGCTTCCAGTCCATCACACCAAACTTGGGAGAAACAGCTTTCCCAGATACTCCTCCTTCTCCCTCTGACTGTCTCGCTCTCCTTCTGTGATTGGCCTAGATCATATTTCTCTCTAACTCTCTTTCCCTCGCTCCCTCTGGGTTTTCCAGAATCTGCCCTTTTACAGAGAGTTGACTATTCAGGCAAACCACGTCTGATAAAGACACGCCAAAATCGACAGGTCCCGATTCCAGTTGAGGCAGTTTAGCTCAGATTTCGATTTAGTTGTGTTGTTCTTCTCATTGTAGAGCTCAGTAATGCAGTCAGAATGGATTGTTTTCTGAGCTGTTACAGCTATTAATGATTAATTCATAAACATGAATAACATAAAGACAGTCTATCTATCTATCTATCTATCTATCTATCTATCTATCTATCTATCTATCTGTCACCCACTGGTCACACCTGTTATTTGTTCTTTTAGAAGTTATATAGTATAGCCTTGACAACCAGTACAATCATTTTAAAATAAACACAAGTAAAAGTACTCATTCTGAAGAGAAACAGCCCCTGTGACTTCAATATATTATTAAATATCACATTATCATACTGATGCATCACTATGTAAGCAGCATTATCTGTTATAGCGAGTCAAGTGGTGGTAGTTTCAACTTGGGGGGTTAGGGGCCCAACCCTATGTAAAGTAGTTAAAACTACCACCACTTGACAAGATAAATCTGAGGGGTCGTGAGATATTTAATTGGACAGGGACGAAAGCAACAGTGTTTAATCACCACCTTGTTTAATTAGGAAAACCTGTTTAAAAATAGCCAATCTTCTCAGATGGTCGCGTTTGTTTATGTACACCATATCAGTATACAAATGAGACTGTTTCATAACCAGTTCAAAACTCATATACATGTAAAACACAACAAGAGACCCCAACTAGACACTACTTGAGTTTTATTATAAAGTACTCAATTACATACAACTACCTCCAAATTGTACAGTGCTGTGTATTTGTGTAATAGCCTACCCTGAGCTCACACTGAATGACTGTGAATCATGTTTACTCATTCTTTAAATCAGTTAGTCCCTTATTCAAAATGTTGTTTGACTGTATTTTAATTAGGAACTGTTATTGTACAGCTGCTTGTTAGAAAACAAAATGTTATGTTTGGGGATGTTTGGTTTGATTGTTAAAAAAAGAATCTTTATTTCTTTATGTCAGGTAAAAAATATTGTTTTTGGTAGCAGAACTCACCACTAGACTGAAAACCTTTTAATGCTACCTTAAAGCAAGACTATGTAACTTTGAAAATGTAGCCACAAGTGGCACTTACAGGATAATGATACGTGCTAAAACACAGTGTAACAGTAGCAAAAGTCATAAAGTCAGTGAACTCAGTAACGTAATGTCAGTAACACAGGAATATCTAAAGATTGCCAACATTAGCTAACATAAGCCACCATAAGCTACTGGTCATACCAGACCAAGTAAGGCTGAATCTCTGAGTTCAGTGAAGCAAGCAAGCCACTGTTTTATTGTCCTTTTTTTTTATTTGAAAGATAAATTTAGTGTTATTTAGATTAAGTAATGGCCCATACCCTATGTAGAATCTCACAGCCAATGTGGGGTCCAACAACAGAGAACAGACCATGAGTGTAAATATATCCAGCTGTCCAACTGTTTGTAACTGATAAGTGGAAATCCGTCCACACATGTACAGAAATAGTTCCACTGTAATCTTTATTTTCCCCTAGGTGTCTTCTTGCGGTGTGTAACATTCATTGTGTGAGCTGCTGGCGTTGCTTTGTCTGCGCCATCTATCTCCTGTCCACCTGTGTTCTGTTAGGATAGTGTTTTGTCATTCTTGACTCCGGTGTAAACTGTTTAGAGTAAGGACACTTTCTCAAGTTCCAAGTCAGAGCCCGGTCACTCCTTAAAAGGCCATTAGATTATGCTGATGTACCTGTCAAGTCTTTCTGCTGCATCTCTGCTGCTCTCTGATGTCATGCTGCTGGAACTTACCATCCCTGCATGACCCATGAAGCCCTGCGACTCAAATAAACATTTTATTTCCCCCCCCTGGCCAACGTTGTTTCTACTCTACAGGAAATTGACTGTACTCCTTTACCTGCCCTTTGTGTACATAATCGATTTGGAAATGGTACAGAGATGGCAGGCAAAATAACAGCCAGACTAGTGCCAACACCTCAAACCTTCAATTGAGACTAAGACCCTGCTGAATAGCAGTAATGAAAGGAATGTGGGTTTCACAGAGTGCAGTGCACCTCTGTGTGAGATTAAAGCTCTGATGAGAGATGGCACTATTCAGGGAAGAGGCGACATCCCTCCAGGACAATAACGATGATGATGATGATCTGGTAGTTGGAACAGTCACAGGCTGACCTTTCTCATCCTGAACAGACTGTTAGCAGCTCTGACTCATCCACTGTACAGAGTCACTACTGTCATGAGAGAGACAGCAAATATTCCTTTTACAATCACAGTATAAACACTTGCTGTCTGATTGGTGACAGCTTTAATGCTTGGAAATATGATTGCGCATGTTCATGCTTTTGTGGGTACAACAACATACTGTGGTGGAATAGTTACAGTCTATTTTGAGTACATTTACTCAAGTACTTAACTCAGAATGGGAGGTATTTATACTTAAACTACATTTATGGTAATTCTACTTTACTACATTTCAGGGGGAAATATTGTGCTCCACTTTAATACTTTGCAGATTAATATTTTACATATAATCAGAAATCTGATGCATTTTTACAGATTCAACTATTAGTAGTATTTATGCTGTTTATATGTTAATACATAAAAATAATAATCCTGTATCATCATGTCATAATACAACACTGAAATATTCACACTGCTAATAATACTTTACTTTTACAACAACATGTGGAATGCAGGCCCTTCTAATAGAGTCATTTTACATTGTAGTACTTAGTAAGTAATACCTGACACCCATGTCACACTTCTCACTAATAACTCA